CAGCCCTGCTCCACATGTACACAAAGCTGGGCAGACTGCGTGAACTGAGTAGGGGCGTCAGTCAGCAGCCTTCAAAGCCACAGCACTTGACGCACCGTGATAATCCCAGATTCGGATCGCACATGCAGCAGAGGATCCACAGGGAGACGGAGTAGAGACATACACTTCAAACTTGCGTGGGAGGTGGCAGTTGGATGCTGGTGGTGGTGGTGGATGACGATGATGTTGTGTAATGTAAGTGGGGGAAGATGTGATGGTGGAGTGTAGCCGGTGGTTGTCTACCGTAGGTTTTCGTGAATGCACATGTGGTCTAATAGGTCCATGTGGTGGGTTAGTGTGCGAGTGCAGTGAGAGCAACTGAGTTGAATGCGTCTGGTATATGCTGGTGCTCCAGGCACTGTTTCCCCAGTCTCTGTGCGATGGATACGCAAGTGGCCATGCAAGCCGATATGTGAGGCGAATTAAGGGGGACAGTGTGGACAGGAAAAGTCGACGTTGTCCGTATCGGTTTAGGAGATGTTGACAGTGGTGGAGCTGCTGATCGCGGACGCGCTGGTCGGCGGGGTATGGATTGAGCTAGGCATGGCAAATATGCAGGAGGTGCTGGGGGCGTTGAGACTGCGGCCATTTCCGCTCAGGGGCATACGCATGAGACTGAATAGGCCCATGTGGTAAGCGAATGTGCGAGTGCACTGTTGACGGTGGAGGCAAATGCGGCGGGTGTAAGATGGTGCTCCGGACACTGATTCGCCAGTCGCTGTACGATGGAATCACAACTGACCGACCAGCCCGATGTGTGAAGTTAGGGTGCGGTCACAGTGAGGACAGATATGGATCGGGTTCACATCGCTGGCGTTGACGGTGGGGAGGTTGACGCTTGTTGGTGTGTCAGAATTATGTGCAGTGGTGGTGGGTACGGAAGCCGCCGTAGCGGATTATGAGGCAATAGGGGAGGAGGAGGAGGAGGAGGATGAGGAGGAGGAGGAGGAGGAGGAGGAGGAGGATATTGGGGGATGAAAATGTGCGGCCAATGTTTGTTGTCGGTGTGGACGATGAGGGAGAGCTGGACGAGGAGACAGCAGCCGGTCTAGTCCGGGTGCTGCGGTTAGTACAAAGATGACTTACAAGGCTGAATGGTGTACGGAATGTTTGCTAGCAGCGTGGGTATGTCGGGGCTGTTTAAGCGTTGGCGCTGTGAGGCGGCGGCGATGTGGTTGGCTTCGAAAATTGCTGCGCCTTTCTTCACTGTTCTCATCCACGTAGGTCGGTCCCGAGCTAAGTCATCCCAGTTGCCGGATTGATCTTCAGGCGATTTAGGGAGGTTTCCAGAGTATCCTTCTAGCGTCTGATTTGGCCTAGTTGTCGGTGTGAATCCGTCGCCGAATCTCCACAGCAGATTCGTTTGGGTAGTCTCTGGTCGCCCATCTTTACGAGGTGGCCGCTCCAGCGTAGTTGTGTTTTTCTCAGCATAGATTAGATGCTGAGGATTCCCGTCCGCTCCTGTACATCCATGTCCGGGGTCCAATTCTGCCACCTCGGTTTCAGTAGCTGCCGAAGACAGCTGAGGTAGAAGTGGCTGAGTCTTTGCGCCTGCCTCATGTACACCGTCCAGGTGTCTGCTCCATACAGTAACGTCGGCAGGATGATTGTTTTATAAATCATGAGTTTGGTGCTAAGGTTGAGACCGTGACGATTCCAGACTGCTTTGCAGACGGTCGAAGGCTTGACTGGCTTTGGAGATCTGGAGGGCTACTTCATCGTCGATCTTTATGGTGCAGGAGAGGGTGCTGCCCAGATACGTGAAGTTGTCCACGACTTGCAGTTGGGCTCCATTCACATTGATTTGGAGTGCGAAGTAGGCAGCATCGAGTGGCGGTTGATGCATAACCACCGTCTTCTTCGTGTCGGTGATCAGGCCGAAGTTGCCACAAGCGGCAACAAACAGGTTCATGCTCTTTTGCGTTCGTCAGGGTAGGTGATCGTCAGCATGGCAGAGCACATGAGACTGAGGAGGCTAGGTGCGGGAATGCGGCCCTTCTTCAATCCGCTGGTCACTGCGAATGCCTCTGAGACAATTCCATTGTCCGTGTCTCACGCCATCATGTCATCGTGGAGCTGAAGCAACATCTGGGTGAATCGTTCAGGACAACCGAATTTCTGCATGATTTTCTGCAGTCCTTCGCTACTCACCGTGTCGAAGAGTTACGTCATATCCGCGAAGATAGAGTACAGATGGGCCCGCATCTCCTGACACCTCTCCTGAAGTTGAGGGGCGGCGATGATCGTACGGTGGTCCCACGATGACGACGGAAGCTGCACTGGCTTTCCGGCAGGAGACCTTGTTCCAAATGTTGGTTCAGGCGATTAAGAAAGGTGCGAGAGGAGATCCTCCCAGCGATGTCCAGCAGGGAAATTCCGTGGTGGTTGCCGCAGAGTTGGCGGTTCCCTTTCCGCTTGTATAGATGCACGATTGTCATCGACTCTCCAAGAAGGCGTTCTCGTCAGCGGTGGCAGCGACTGGAACGCGAACTGGCAGTTGAGCTAGCTCTTCTCTGAAACGGAGATGATGAGCAAATAAGTAATTGACCAGACCGATACATGATGTGCATTTGGGGTGGCAGTATGAGCAGCTTAAGTTTGTAGCTGTTGTGTCAGTAATAGTAGCAATGATGATGATAATAATTATGAAGGAGTTTTCGAATGTGCGACGTTGACTTGACTTGTGGACATCGCGATGAATTTTGTTGTCGTGGATGTGCATGTAGTCGAGTAGGCCCATAGGATGACTGGATGTCCATGGGCGGTGTAAACAGTTGATGAGGGTACGAAGAGTGTACGTCGGTGATCCTGGGACTAGCTCGCGATCTCAGTACGGTGGATTTGCAAGTGACCGACCAAGCCGTTGCGTGAGATGAAGGTGCGATCACAATGACGAGAGGTCGAGATCGAGTTCCCATTGCTGGCGGTGGGGGCAGTGGTAGTTGACGGCACGTCGAACGTAGTTTCATCGGTAGTGGGGGTGGGACGGGTGGTAGCCGTCGTCGCGAAGTTGTGGCTAGTATGACGGAGGTGGTCTTGGGCGGTGACGACGACGACGACGAGGTTATCGCAAATTTGATTCCCAGTAGTGGATGTTGTCACCATGGACGTCCTGTAGGTTGCTGCAGGGAAGACGATAGAGGAGTTTGCGGAGGCAGTGGCCGGAGTTTCGTGCTGTTATTGCACTGGGTCCGAAGATGCCTGACGAGATAGATACTTGCGCGTAATTTTCGTTAACAACATGGACATGTTAGAAGG